AAAGCCTTTCCTTTTTGTTTAAACAGAAAAAGGGGAAATGATGGAGGAAGGTCATTGGTTAAGTAATAAAGAAACTGCTTGGCCTCATAGGTTAAAACATAGGTGGGTGGAGTAAACAGAACAGAATGCTGGGAGGAAGAGGAAGTGAGCTCAGACTCGACAGCTCTGCTCTCTGGAGCAGAGACGCCATGCTCCCCTCTCCCGGGCAGATGCACACGATGAAGTAAGCCGCCAGGTCAGACATGCTGAATCTTTCCCAGTAAGACCGGAGCTACACAGTTTATTAGAGATGGGTTGATTGGGATATCAGAATTAGCCTGTAAGGGCTAGAGCTAATGGGCCAAGCAGAATGGGCCAAGCAGTGTTTAAAAGAATACAATTTGTGTGTTGTTATTTCGGGGCATAAGCTAGCTAGGCGGCCAGGGTGCTGGGAACACAGCCCCGCCACTCCTATTACTACAGGAAGTGTGTTGCAATTTTATAAAAAAATATCACATCAATAGCAAAGGTTTAAAGAAAGAGTTTTCTATTAAATGGCAACAAGCTAAGGAAATTATAAAGAGGTGTCCTATTTGTTCTTTCTATAATCAAACACTGCTACTTACAGGGACTAGCCCAAAGGATACTCAATGGAATGATATCTGGCAGATAAATGTGTTCCACTTTGCAGAATTTGGAAAATTAAAATATGTACAGCACACCATTGACACTTATTCAGGTTTTCAGTGGGCAACTGCTTTAAGCGCTTAGAGAAGGACGATTCTGTAATCACACATTTATTAGTAGTCATGGCCATTATGGGTATTCCTGCACAAATAAAGACAGATAATGGTCCAGCATATGTGTTTAGGAAAATGAAAGTTTTTCATTATAATATTAAGCTTGTTATAGGTATACTACACCATCCTATAGGTCAAGCAGTTATAGAAAGATCGAATCAAACTATAAAGAATATGTTAAACAAATAGGGGTGTAAAATGCCCCCAGAAATAGATTACATAATGCTTTATTAACCTTGAATTTTCTTAACGCTAATGAGAGAGGGACAACAGCATCAGAGAGACATTGGATAATAGAAAAGTCTTCTGAAATAAATCAACTGGTTTATTTCAAGGATGTGCTGACCTCATAATGGAAGCCAAGAGATATGCTACATTGGGGAAGGGGTTTGCTCTTGTTTCCACAGGAGAAGAAAAATTATGGACACCATCAAAATTAATAAAGATTTGGTTTGAAAAGGAGAAACCTTTTGAAAAGAGAAATGACAACTCATCCACATTGATGATAATCATACAGGTGGGTAAGGAGAACATATAGGGTGGGAGCAGGGTTCTGTTCTTGTCTTTGCAGAAAAATACTTATCTTCAAAAATTCAAGAGACTCTGGATGTTTGAATGATGATAGATGGAAACATAACTACCCAATAAATATCATCAAGAAAATCGAACATGGGGCTGGAGAGATGGCTCAGTGGTTAAGAGTACTGACTGCTCTTCCAGAGGACCCGGGTTCAATTCCCAGCACCCACGTGGCAGCTCACAACTGTCTGAAGATCCAGTTGCAGGGGATCTGACACCTTCACACCAATAAACCATAAAAAATATTAAAAAAAAAGAAAATCGAACATGATTCGTAAGTACATATGATAGACTATATATATTTAAATATATGTATGTATGTATATGTATATATATATATATATATGAACATATAGAGCTGGTTTTGGAGTTGGACAACAGCTATAAATCCAATAATCCTTCTTTAAATCCAAGCATGTTGTTTAAAGAAAAACCCAGAGTTTTTGTCCAATGTCAAGAGCTGTCTGGTATGGGACAGAAAGAAAAAAGAATTAAAAAAAATTTACTTTTCTTCATATTTATTTTTGTTTTTATCATACCTTTCATTGAATATGTATATATCTGTATAAATAATATTTAAGTTTTTCACAATGAACATGAATTTTCATGCAGTAATCTTTGAAGTTTCCAGGAAGAAGATGGGGCCCCACAATAACTCCACCTGGTTGATATGATGCCATGATGCCGATATCACTACTACAAGACCTCTTTTGGGTACCAGTGGGCTCAAGATGGTTCCAACTTGGTTAGCTGAAATGGTGCACATTTTTGCAACGTTCTGGCCAGACCTCTACCAAATACTCAGAGACTATTTGCAATTATACCAGACGTGAATCTTGGAACTTAAACATCATTTTACTCAGGATCCCATAGAAAGAACATCGCCCCCATGACAGCTGGAAGTAATTCTAGAAGATGACGTCCCCCTCTCCCAACAAAATTTGTCCTCAGGGTTAGGGACATCATTTAGGAGTTGATTATAACTGGTATAGGGTTGGGGGCAGAATTTTATAGGCTCAGGGATTTCTTAAAAATAAAAGGGAAAATTGGACTGGATAACAGATTAGTGTGAGCTTACACTATTAATAATAGTGAGTAACAGAATGAATACGTATGAGTTATTATTTATAGGTAATTACATTGGTATAGATTCTTGTATATTGATACAAAGTTAAAGTATATTGAATATTGTATGCACGCATGCTTCTACTCTACCTCTGCTTAAAACATTTTTTATATATTGATATATTATATTGCAATGTACATTTCTACCTCTGATCAAGATACTTATACATTATTTACATTTGGAGGTCATTGTCCTCATTTATTGCACAGTTACTTATTGTCTTAGTCTTTAAGTTATATAGGTATTAAGAATTATCGATCAACAGTCATTTATATTTGTCATACTTATAGTTAGACTAATCAGGTTCTTTACATACATAGAAATTATATTCTGCATAAATAGATAATCTTCAACCACTTCAAAGAGCTGTAGAAAATGGCATTTAAATAACTTAGGGTTCTGTTGAAGTGAGACACAATTGCTCCTGGCAGCACCGATCTATTCCTGAGAGAATGTTGAGTACTGAAGCCACTCCACTTGGAGCTTGTTTTCTTCTTGGCAAAATTGGCCTTTGTGCAAAGAAATGCCAAGGTCTCAACCACTGACAAGATACATAGTATCTGAAAATGGATAAGCAGGACTGTGAACTCTTGCCAAGACAGGGTGAGACTGTTTTGAAAAATTTCCTGCCTTTGAAAATGGTCTGTCAGTTCTTCTAGGCCTTAGCCAAAGGTTGCTTCAAGGTTGCAAATGAGATTTTGGGTGATTGCCCAGGTAGCCAGCTGTCTCTGTCATTTGTTGCACATTTTGGAAGTTGCTTGATTGCACTTTCTGCTTACTCAAGTAATATTATTTCTCTTCTCAGATTTTCGATGAGGTTGAAGACTAGATAATTGTAGTTACTTTCCTCTCATAACTTGGCCAAGTTATTTATTATATATGACTTAAACTAGTTAGAATAGGATATTTGTTCTTATTGTATATAATTTTGTATTAGGCTTAAAACTCTCTTATTTAAACAAAAGTGGGAGGTGCTGTAGAAAATCTTACAGCTTGTGGTTACTCACCTACTGGGGCGTGGCCTTTTATACTATAAATGCGCATGCAGAGCCTGCATCTGCCCCTTTTTCCTTTCTTCCCTGACTGCTCTTTCGGATTGCTGGATTGCTGGATTCAATCTCTGTTCTCCATTCAAGCAGAGAATTCTGATTTGTGAGTTTACCCCTAAATAAATAACAATCTATTTCTCAATTCTAAGCTAGTGTGGCATTTATTTTAAGTGTCCATTCCACAGGGCACTGTCAAAAATGAGTAACTAGTTGATACAGAGATGGCCCAGTGGGTAAAAGGGCTTGCTCTGCAAACACTAGGAGCTGAATGCCATTCTCCAGCACCCACATAAAAAGCAGAACCTGTCTGACTGTACACACCTGTCACTCCAGTTTGGAAGAGCAGAGGCAGGCAGTCCTGAAAACTCACGGGCCAGACTGCTGAAACCATGAGTCTCAGGATCAGTGAGAGATCCTGTCTCAGGACGATAGAGGAAGATCCCTGCTGTTCTGTCCTGCGCAATATCCTGAGCACTCATGTGCTAACACACACACACACACACACACACACACACACACACACACACACACACAATTTCTCATTAAGAAAATTAATTCTTCTAGCTAGGCATAGTGGCACACACCTTTAATGCCAGCATTGGGAGGTAGAGGCTGGCAGATCTCTATGCGTTCAAGGTCAGCCTGGTCTACATAGCGAGTTCCAGGATGGCCTTAGATACATTCTGTGACTGAGACAACTGAGACTGTCTCAAACAGCAGAGAACACCACCACCACCACCACCAACAACAACAAAAACAATTCTTCCAAACGTTAAAAGAACAATCTTCTATAGCTATCCAGGGAATCGGGGAATGGAGGGGAGGTTCTCAGCTGGATGACTTGCATGCACTTGCCTTTTGACTCTACCTCCGCCTCCTCCCGGCCAACGTCTGGCAGACCCTTCCCTTCTGCACACCCTCCCCCACACCACTTTCCAGTAGCTTTGGCTCCCTTTTACCTTCTTCCCTTCCACTCCAGCTGCTAGTTTCGTCACAAGCTCACCCCTAAGGATTTAGTGTGTGTGTCTTGAGGGCAGGGGGCACTAAAATCCCTCCCCCATCTCTGGTCACTGTGCCAGACACTCCCTGTACCCTTCCCCGGCGGCAGACTCTCCACTTCCTCCCCAGAAGGCCACCCACCAAGCTTGAGGCTAACGAGAGCAATGGAGACTTTCTTCCTTCAATGTAGTACTCAGTGCACCCAATACTCATGTGCTCGCCAGCTGACAGTGACGCCTCTCCAGTCTGTGACCACACTGCTTAGGTCATGTTTCACAAAAAACGGCTCAGTGATCTTCAGTTAGTAAAACCTCCCTTCCGCCGGTACCAGTAGCTTCATTTTCCTCCCACTTTTCCCGTTTTTCTTCTCTAGTTCTTCCCAAGTGTTAGGCTCTCAGACGCACTCCAAATCCCCCTCCCCCCCCCCACACCCTTACAGGGACAGTCTCCGCCCTGCCCAAAACTCACCCCAGGGGCAGGATCGCCCTGGATCCCCGAGGAGCAGCAGGAAGACACACAGGAAGACTGTGAATCTGCTTTTGCTGGGATTTCCCGAACTGGCGTCCATTGTTTATCTCCAGCAGGTCGTCCATTTAACTCCACCCATTAGCCCCGCCCACCAGCTTGCTACAGTGCAGCCCAAGTTTTGGGTTGCTGTCTTTCCACCACGTATTCCCCCTTTTTATTTTTTAAGGTCTGATGAGCGATTCATGTCTGTATGTCTTAAGAGATCCCGATATCCCTACAAATGCGCCCTAATATTGTCAAATGAGCCATCAACATAAGTAGTTTGAGCATGATGCTGAACACACGTTGAAGGATGTTAAAAGGATTGAATCCTTGTACTTCCTGTAATAAATCTTTGGTTAGGGCAAAAGAGGAAGTGAATGCAAGATGAGGAGAGCCCAGTTACTGAACTAATTGCCCGAGTGTTAATAAAGATAAACTAACATTCTCTTGATGCCGTATTCCCTGTAAGTAATCTTAGTTAATCCCACTTCCATTCAGATTCAGTCTAGTTTACAGGAGTAACACAGACATATAGAAAGCCAGCAGGACACTGTAGAGTTAACTGGTGTTATGCTGCTTGTATGCGTCCCCAGGTGCAAGACCACAGCTTCTAAAGCATTTCATGAAACTTGCAGGTTTGTGTCTATACATCCTTGTGTTGCCGAAGACACAGAGTATTTATTACTCTGTTTAACAAAATGGGCTGTTTGTACTTGTTGGGTCGGGAACTTCCAGGTAGCACTCCCAGTACACAAGCAGTGAGTCCAATATGAAAGAATAACCAGGTCATAATTGTTCGGCTTCTCCAAAAGTCCCACAGGCACTCGTACTGTTCAGGGCTGTGGCTAACAGGCCAAGATTTGGCTGAATATTCCCCTCTGGAGACGCTATAACACAGCAGTTCTCAACATGTGGCGCAGGACCCTTTCGGGGTCAAACGACACTTTCACAGGGGTCACCTAAGACTGTCGGAAATATCAGATATTTACAGGGGCGAACTTCCAGTTAAGAAGTAGTGAAAATGACTTTATGGTTGGGGGTCACCATGACATGAGGAGCTGCATTAAAGCATTAGGAAGGTGGAGGACCACGGCTATCATCCAGACCAGGTAGGCACCTGCAGGACAAGTCCATCAGCACCTCAAGCTGTCCACTAAGTGTTCTTTAGAGCCCTGGAGCACACTATTCAAGGGGAGATTCCATTCTGAAATGCCGGCAGCAGATTCTCACTGCACACTGGAAAATATCCATCCACTGGGGTAACTTTGAGTGATTAGACACTGAAAAGCTCAAGTGATGAATGAACTCACGATTTCTGAGAAATTGTACAGTGGATCCCTCCCAGACTCCAAAGTCATAGTCCCTATGGGCCATGCAGATCAGAGGACGCATCGATACTGACTCACCAACGACAAATACAAAAGGTGGGTGATATCCCAGTATAGTTACAGAGGGCAGTGCACAAGAGAAACATCCAGAACATAGTTACCTCAGTCTGGAAAAGCCAGATACTTTAAAATACACCTTGATTTGGCATACATTATTCAGTTTTTTGTAATGTTAATCTTAGAAACGTCAATGTCATATATATTATTTTTTAAAAATTTTTAAAAGTTTTTTCACAATTTTTATGTACTTTAAGTAACTTACTCAGATCTTTATAACTTATAAAAAACTTTAAAAGTTTTTAGTTATCCATTTTGTAAACATATTTTAATCTTTACATATTAATTTACTTATTAATAATAATTTAATTATCTTTTATATATGCTTTTTATTTATTAAAATATTATTATCTCATATTTATATTTTACTATTTAGTACCATATCTTTTTGTAGTCATATAGGTAGATTTCACCTTTTTAATTTTAAGGTAGAAAAACAGTAGTTATTAATTTAGAAGATAGGGCAGAAGCCCTATGTTGGACCTTAAAAAAAATCCCACTTGGTTATTAGCTTGTAATTAAAGAGAGAGTAAAGGTAAAAATGTCTTTAAAAACCTTTAAATGTTTGTGTATATTTATGTATGTATATGTATAAATAATATTTAAAGGCACAGACATAAGTTATTCTTACCCAAAGCAACGGCCCTATGGAAATCGTGTACCTAAACGGAGTAGGAGCCATCACCTCCTGAGACTTTAAGACCCAGCCGAGCGACCTCAGCAACTCTTCAGTGGCAGCAGCTGTAATTGTCCCGTGATTTCCTGTTGAAATCTGCCAATCTCAAAACGTTAGCTCTCTTTGTTCTATGTTACTGTTGTGTTATCAGGTAAAAACTGTATGGAAACTGAGGGAAAAAAAAGTTAAAATAATAACAAACATATTCTTAGCTCTGGGAAGTTGAACCCGTGGGTAGTCGAGAGAGAACCGGTTAGAGAACGAAAACTAGATGGCAGGAGAAACTTAATTTTCCAAGTCTCTCTAAGGAAGGTCACCAGCTCGGTTTTAACTTTAACTCTGTGTATCTTGGTCTCTTTTGTTCTCCTTTTTCCTGTTACAGAGCCAGGGAGCCTGTCTGGTCTAGGAAATGGGTTAAGTAAGCACAGATCGAGAAAAACCATGTTTGAACCTGGTGTGGGAGCCAAACTCACACTCGGGAGTCACAGTCTCAGCAGGAACCCAATCAGATAAGACGGTCCAGAAACAGCAGCGGTTCGTTTTTCACTTATTGGCCCGTTAGCCCAGTTGGTATCTAAACTGAACACAGCGCCTTAGACGGCTCCCTCATCCTGATCTGAGCTGGTAAAACCTGCTGTGTGGAGACTGTGAAATTGTCTGGGGTAGTGCGGGGCTGTAGAGCCGGGCGGGACGCTGTGCCTGGAGCCTGTTGCCGCCATGTTTCACTGCCCCCCTCTTTCTCCTCCGCTGTCAATCCCCTGCAGCAGTACAGGAAAACCCGGGAAAAAACGAGCAGTCCCCCTCTCTTCCCAAATACTTTAGCTGGGGTCTCAGGTCCCTCCGGCTTTCACAAATGAAGTTGAGAAAGCTTTAAGAGGTGCCGCGCCAGCGCGGGCTGGAACCAAGAGTCTCGGCGGAGGGTGTCCAAGTTGAACGAATACACAGAGCACGAGCTTGATTGAGGTGGAACAGCTTCTCTTTATTGTCTGCTGGGCTGGTTTTATAACATGGCACCAAATGAGGAGGGGGCTGCGAAGGGACTGTAACCTGACCCTGGCAGGGATCAAGGACCGGTCATCACGCACTTAAAATTCCTACCTTCCCCGCTCCAGGAGCAGAGGGAATTTATTATGTTTTCCTTGCAGATAAGCACCTCAGGCAGGGATATCAACTCGGGGCTGCAGTTCCCACAAGAGGGAACTTCATAATCCTTTGTGTGATGAAGAAGGAGGGACTCTTGGCTCAGCCATTTCAGTAGGAGCTATTTCAGGGTATTTTAAAACTGTATCATTAAAACCAGAGAAGCTTCCTCCTCCCTCCTTTGGGTGCGGACCATCGGAAATTTTCTAGGAACTCCTAACCACAAATTTATTTTTGTTGCTGCTTCAGAACTGTAATTTTGCTACTGGAACGGGGCACGGAGAATGAGGAGCACAAAGCGAAGTAATTCAATTATTCAATTACACTGCTTCCTTGTTCTCAGAACTTTTATCTTTTTTTAAAATTTTTTTTTAATTTTTAAATCTTTAGTCCTGGTGTTTGTTTTGGAGTAGAACTATCAGATTTACAGATTCACAGGGGTGTTGATCTACAACCAATCCCTTTCATGCGCTGTGGGTCTGAGCAGTTTCCTTTCAAGTTCCACAGTGCAAACCTAGCAATATGAAACTGCTATTTTTAAAAATTTATCTACTTTATTTTTTAAATTTAAGATTATTGTATTTCCTTACAGGAGGAACATTTCAATAAACTTTACATGTATCAATCAACCCCTTTTCAAATCGGGCCCACATCGAAACTAGCATCGTGAAGTTTTATTAAGATGTGGATTTTGGGGCTGGTGAGATGGCTCAGTGGTTAAGAGCACTGACTGCCCCTCCAGAGGACCCGGCTTCAATTCCCAGGACCCACATGGCAGCTCACAGCTGTCTGTAGCTCCAGTTCAAGAGAATCTGACATCGTTATACCAATGGCATGAAATAAAGTTGTTGGTTTTTTTTTAAATGTGGATTTTGAGCTATCAATACAGATGCCAAGTTATTACACAAACATCCACAAGAATTTTTCCCATTAATTTTTTTTTTAGAATTTTTCACAAACTTTCCTGCATAATTCAACACACAGCAGAGAAATGGTATATCTTTTTTCTTTCCTTGAGCATACGATGGGAAACACAAGTATATATATGTATATATATGTATTATATGTAATTTTCAACTAACAAGACAGTTTACATCTATAAGTGAGAAATTGTCTAACGGAAATAACCAGGATTTACTTGGCATTAGCCACTTTTATGACCAAGTGTTATTCTGATCAATAAAGCTCACTGCCCCTCACCTTCTGGCATATACTTAAATATGTATATTTAACATAATGGTCAGCTCTTGGCAATGCTCCCACCTAGTGCTCCACAGCTAACACAGAACATTGTTAAAAGAGCAAACATTTGCACAAACAAAACCCCAACCTTCTTAGAAGCACAGACACGAAATGAAATTTATCAGGCCACTTCTTTCCAGCCTTTAGGAAACCACCCAGACTGAATTTGCCAATGAATTTTACCTGTACCCAAAAGGTACACTTATATCCAACAGAGGGGCTGAAAATCAGACTTAGTGTTTAGTTTAGGGGTGTGCTGGAAAATTCAACCACCATTTGAAAATAATTTTAGGAAAACAGACCACCAAAAGCAGATTTACTGAATTTATTTTAAAAATCATAAAATGTTTCTTCTGAAAGAATCATTACCTTCTGCTCAGCAGTCTGAACATGCCAGGGACAGGTGGCTGTCACTTCCTGAAAAGTTTTTACGTCCTGATAAGCCTCTCCACCGACGCAATAATCCAAATAAGACCAAGTCAAACCGAATTAGAAAAAGCCCAGGTTTAATGGATGCCAGTGCTCCCCTTCCAGGGCCCCCAGGGATGGAGACAGGAAGGAAGACTGGGAAAACCAGAGTTCATT